GCTAATGCTAAGTTGATGGCTGATGCTGAGTTGATGGCTGATGCTGAATTAATGGTTAATGCTGAGACCATGGTGGATGCCGAGTTGATGGCTGATACCAAAATAGTTCAGATAAATAATATGATAATGGCTGATGCCAAGTTGATGGCTGATGCTAAGTTGATGGCTGATGCTGAGTTGATGGCTGATGCTGAAATAATGGTTAATGCTGAGACCATGGTGGATGCTGAGTTGATGGTTGATACCAAAAAATATTCAGATAGATAATATGATAATGGCTGATGCCGAGTTGATGGCTGATGCTGAGTTGATGACTGATGTTGAGATGATGGTTGATGATGTCTAGTTGATGGCTGATACTAAGATGATGGCTGATATCAAGTTGATGGCTGATGCTGAGATGATGGCTGATATCAAGTCGATGGCTGATGCTGAGTTGATGGCGGATGCTGAATTGGTGGCTGATTCTGAGTTGATGACTGATGCTGAGTTGATGGCTGATACCAAAATGGTTCAAATAAATAATATGATAACGGCTGATGCCAAATTGATGTCTGAGACTGAGCTGATTGCTGATGTTGAGATGATGGCTGATATCAAGTTAATGGCTGATGCTGAGTTGATGGCTGATACTGAGGTGATGGCTGATGCTAAGATGATAAGGATCTTTGAGGACCTAGATACTGAGATTGAGGAGAGATGTTATTCAATTAGAACAAATGAGAAGTTACGATTGTCAGTGAACTCTCACCCGATAGATAGAGAAGATATTCTGGATTGTAATGGAGAGATGCTGGATGATATTGAGTACTCTTTGGATGATCATGAGAAGCTGATAGAACTACTAGAGGATCAAGAGAATTTCTGCAAACTGCATAGCGTCCATGGGGCTTAATCAGCTGAAGTATAAGGAGGCAGGGTATGTGGATGGTTTCACAGAGGAGTTTCATTCTCCAGTTTGTGATGCCAACATAGCCCTAGACAGAAGGAATATTGGAGTAGAGAAGACAACTGTACGGAATCGGGAACCTGTGTTTGACAGTTCAAAAAAAGAGGTTTTGAAACTAGATTTTTTTATGATGAGAAATTGAGCGATTTCACTGCAAAGCCTGGTGATCCAGAGTGTGAGGATCCCAATGCTCTGATTGAATCTGGTGAACTTGATATGATGAACGAGATGACGACTGTACAGAATCTGCGACCTGGGCTTGATAGTTAAAAAAAAAGAGGTTTTGAAGCTAAATTTTTTTATGATGAGAAATTGAGCAATTTCACTGCAAAGCCTGGGGCTCTGGAGTGTGAGGATCCTGATGCCCTGCTTGAACTGGATGAACCTGGTATGAAGGATGAGAGGATGACTGTTCAGAATCCAGATCTGGGACTGATCATCAGAGAGGAGAGGACTGTAAGAAATCCAGTGTGTAAAACTCAGCCCACATTGGTTTGGATGAAGAGTATTGAAACTAATAGATTTTCCCTTATTGCAGCTCATGCGGGCAGGGGTGTAGCAGAGCTACTAGTGGATCCTGTATCCCAAGGTTGGAGAACTAAGCCTAACCAGAAAGAGTTTTTGAAGAAGATGTCAGGAATTGATGAATTATCCTGGATTGATGAGTTCTCCTGGTTTAGTGAGTTTGAAAAGATCTCCTGGTTTGGTGAGAAGCCTTGGATTGATGAGATATCCGGGGTTGAAGAGATATCCTGGTATGATGTGATTTTTTTGTTCGAGACCTCTTGGCTTGATGAGTTATCCTGGTATAAGTGGAACCCGGAGAAGGATGAATTATCATCAGGATTAGGAGATCTGAACCTTAAAAAGTTTAATATACAAAATGTGTCCAAGGGATCAGACTGGATCAGGGGTTTAAAGTGGATGAAAGGAGAAAGGTCACATGCTGTATTCCATGGATGGAGGAGAGAGATGAGATTGGCAGGATATATGCAAAGATGGAGAACCAAATACTGGCACAACAAACACTTAATCCAGGATGACAATTGCAGGATTTTTTTACTGGGAGAGAACAGATAGGACCCAGAGAATGAAACCAAGAAAGCAGAACAGTATTTGTTCAGGTGGGAATCAAAAGGAGTGAAGAAGAATCTAAAACCTACTGAGATGAAAGGACTTGTAATCCAGGGCAGAGTTGTATATGATAAAGGAAGATTATCTCCAGAATTCCAGGTCAAGACCAAAGATCTAGACCAAGTGGGATATTTGGATAAACATGAGCATACGATCCTGATCTGAACTCAGGTTATTCCAAGGATGTCTGGAAGCAAGTTCCAGGAAAGATTATGTCTGGGAATGGAGTATCCTTGACGTGTTTAATCTCTCTGGATCTCAAGATGGATAAGAAGAAGGATTATATAATGGAGAAGATGTCTGTGCAGCCTATGATCATCAAGTTACTTCGTGATCTCCCTGTATCTGACGGATTTGCCATCTGGAAAGATATTCAGGGAGTGGAGGAGTTTTAATCTTTAATCTCCAGGGAGGAGGTAAGACTGGAGAGAGGATTTAGAGATCTCTTTACTCTTGCCATCCTTGCTGGGTATAAGTTTCAGTCAAAGAACATGTTAGCGATGGGTGTGCAAATCCAGGGAACTTTATTGAACAAGAATGTATCCACTGGAGATGATTGCTGGGGTGTTAGATGGCAGCAGGTTTCTGAGTCCCTGAAGTGTTATGCGCTAGGAGATATTCAGTTAGGATCTGTGACTCATAACATTCTAGCTGGACTCCTCCCAAGAGATGGATTTATTGATCCAGATGTGCTTTGCAGAGTCTTGAAGTGTAATCAGAAAACTGCACTGTACTGGTTTCTGGAGAAGAGGTCTTGATTCAAGCGGAAAAGTTGTCTAAGACCTGGCAAGATTAAGAGGATGAGGATGAGGAGTCTGAAGGACAGTGGAGCTGGTTCCACTGCTGAGGAGCCAGTAGGTAATCCTCCGTCTCAACCTGCTCCAGGCTCATCCAGAGTCAGTGACGAGTTTGGAGGTGAGGTCTCCGGGCATCAGCAGGAGGAAGGCAGTGAGGAGGTGGTGATGCTCCAGGAAGATGATGAGGTGTTCCTGGTGGGGGAGATAGAGGAGGAAGAGAAGGAGGATGAGAAGAAGGATGTGGAAGTTCCCAAGTCAAAGAGGAGGAGTACTGCTCAAAGATTCTCCAGGAAGGTTGTGGAGAGACCTCCAACCTATGATGAGCTGATTGAGGGAGTGCCTCAGATTGCATTTCCGGATGTTCTGGATATAGAGCTGGAAATCCATTGGGAGGAGAGATTCTTCTGAGGGGATGCAAGTGTTATAAACTTAATAGTGATAATTTGTGGATAACAGTGTGAACAATCTTTTTCAGGTGGGATCAACGTATCAAATGAGGTCAGGTGCAGATAGAATTTTTTTCTTGTTTCTCGCTGGTGGGTGAGTGTTACGCGAGCTCACGCTGCGTACAAAGTCTATGAATTGCCCCTGTTCTACCAGTATTTATCCCTGTATTCTGATGATTGTTGCTGAGGGAAAGAAGCTGAAACTGAACCTGTTTTTACCGACAAATTGTTTATTGTTTTGAGCATGCGCTAAAACTCATGTGTTGGATCAGTTTACCGGCATATGTAATAGAAAGTATTTAGATATGTATTTTTTATGCTGATTTATCATGCTAGTATCAGAGGATTATTGTGGTAAATATGTTTATTCGATTGTTAAACTCTTTTTTATGTGTTTTGTATAATATATTCACGTTCTTTTAGCTTTGATTACAGTTTTTAATGCCTGAACAGTATGATAGGATGATTTATAGATTGAATGAATATGGATGTACTATTTAAAGCTTTTCTGCAGTCTTAAAAAAAATATTTATTGGCAGACTGAAGCACCGAGCCTTAATAAAACTTGAAACTATCCTATCTTTGAATTACTATGAGAAGGAGCAAGAGTAGAGGAGGTTACGGTCAGGCCAAACGAAACACGGCACAGTAGTAACTCATTTATCTTTAGGACTTTAGAAAAATTGCCATAGTTGCGTAACAAATACAGTGTATGGAAGATTACATTCAAAACTATTTACCAACTGTCCTGTTTCATGGGACACCCTGTACATCAGAGATTTTATGACTTTACTCACAGAAATGAACAGAAAAAATAGTTTTTATTTAATTGTAAACTGTAATTCAGTATTTATTTAAAAAAGAGTATTGTTTATTTCCAATTCTTTAAAAGGTTTAATTACTCGTTATTATGACTGGAAACCCTAGATCAGGGTTTGGGTTGGCGCAACTAGGCCTTTTCTGAGGGGGGGGGGCGAAATCTGAATGTTATTAGGGGGGGGAACGGGGGGGCTATCCCCCCCGTTCCGCGAAATTTTTTTTAAAAAGAGTACTTTTTTTAAGGGTTTGATTGCAAAAAAATTAAATTTTTCAGGCTTTGTATTTATATAAAAATCATATGAAGACACAGTAGCTAAAAATAAATATTGTTCTCCTGTTNTTCTCAATTCAGAGTGCTAAGCCCCCTACCTCAAGATTTTCGGAAATGCCTCAAAAAAAAAGTGAACTAAATGAAGTTTTTAAAAATACAGAACACCTAAAAATCTTTGCAGAAATCTCAACCAAATTAAGTTTTAAGAAATATGGAAACGCCTCAAAAAATTTGTGGAAACGCCTCAAAAAAAGGAAACACCTCAACTAAAAAGAGTTTAAAAAAAAAAAAAATGCCTCAAAAATTTTTCGGAAACGCCTCAATAATATTGGGACATCCATCAAAAATATTGGGATATCCCTCAAAAATATTTGTCAGCTAAAAAGCGGACACCCTTCAAAAATTTAAGGAAAGGCCTCAAAATATAGAGAAAACCCCTTTTTTTGAGTATTTCTGTGGGAGGTGTTTTTATAGCACAGCCCCAGCCCTGCAATTACCTTTAAGTTTTTTGAAATGAATTTGAATTTAGAATTTGTATTGGATATATCATTGCAATTAAAATTAAAAAGCATGGGTGGACCTACCTTGGTTGATTAAGAGGTGAAATACTAGACCAGGTGCCCAGGGATGGAGTGTATACCTCACAGTCTAAAAGTATTTTTTTTTCTTGCATATTGTTTGTCTTTTATGTTACTAGGAAAATTTTGGATTGCTGTACATTTAAACCAAAACCAGTTACAATTAGTGAAAAGTTTGTGTGATGACAAATCAATATTTTCAGAATTCTTAAATGTAAACTAAATTTTTTTTTGATTAAATGTAAATTACGATTTTTAATATTTCCCTATAAAAGTGGACTCACTCATCTCAGAATCTCAAAGTCAAACTAAGAACATTCCCATGGTTCTCCCTGTAGGGTTTCCATTATTCCGGAACAAAATTTCCATTTTGGAAATGGAATGATCTGGAAATTTATTGTATAAAGTGGAATGGAAACTGGAATGTTTGCAGCTTACTTGATATTGGTGTCAAAATAGTGATTTTTGTGTTGTAAATAGTAGGCAGGGTAAATATATACCCCATTTCTCTGTTCCTAGTGTGTAAGGATATTTATAGAATCCCGCCAAATTTGGGGCCCAAGCTTCCTTGGGATTCCCTGTCCCGGGTTTCCCGAAGCTAGGGTTCGAGGATCTGCACGAGATGGTCGTGGAAGGAGGCTGGAGGAGTTAGTTGTGTACAAACTTGCATGAGCGGAGGTAGAGCTGATTGTAATGACCAAGATGTGCAGCTGTGTATAAGTTCTAAGCGTTTGATATCCATTTCTTTCCTTTCCTATTTATTAGTTTTTTGAAGAAGATGGGTAAAATGCAATTTAGATAAACATAGTTTTTGATTTAACTTTTACATGATGACATGTTCAAATATTGGTATGCCCATTATGTTTCAATTCACAAATTCACAATTCTAAATTTAATCTGGGATTTAGTTTTCTCCACGTTTTGGTTTCACCCTAACCGTTGTGCGTAGACGACTATAACACAACCAGAGCAGCAAATTGCAGCATTAAGAAGAGACGCTATTTAAACCCTACGTTTACAAGATAGTTGCTGGTTACCCATTGAATCATTAATTTATCAGTAAAGGTAATAATAGTAAATTTATTTTATATTGTCTTCGACATGGACAAAGTTTGGGAAACAATTAGGGTAGTAGGGACAGAATCCACAGAAAAATTTATATTTTGATATTCACTAGTTATTAATATGTATTTTTTAATGGACCCAGTAAGTGGAGTTGGAGGGAGGGGTAACAATGACAAATGCCCCCCCTGGTTCCATCAGTACCTGAACACGGTCAATGCGAAATTAGTGAATGTGTAGGTGGAATGTGTCAGCCCTAGAAAATATTGAAGACGTCAGAAAACAACTGGCTAATGTTTTCCAGGAGGAATCAAACCTCAGGTTGGCAAGAGTGGAGGATAAACAACTAAATAACTAAAAAAGCACCATCAAACTGTTGGAAATGTTTAAACTGAGATGCCTTGGGACAAAATAGAGGAATGAGAGATAAGAACTTAGCCCTGCTGACCTCTTCGTCAGTGGTGAAAAGACCTTTTGACTTCCCTGCCTTTGAAGATACAGAACTCCAGCTTATGCAGAGAGTTCCAAAATCAGTGAGCATGGTCAACGCAGTAGGTATTTACTGCTATCGTTGTAATGGAGGACATATGATAAAGGATTGTAAGATTGTGAAGTGCAAGAGATGTGCAGGGCTGCATTATCCATTGAGATGTCCTGTTCCTGCCAAAGATTTAAAATACTCTAAGTGTTCCCTGACCACTCAAAACACTGATGCTCATCCTTAATACAGACCTAAACCTCAAGTCAGAATGGAGGAAACGCCAGCACAACATGGGGTGTTCACAATTGGATCAGCAACATCATTCTTCGTTAGTGCTATATCAGTGGACCCAGAGGGTAAGTCAAATTTTGTAAGGAATAAATTGCTCATTGATAAAGAGGCACTTATACCCTCCGGGATTGCTAATAGTGAACAATTTTTCTTTGAACATTTGGGGGGGGGGACCTTAGTCAAGTAAAACAGTCAAATTTGAACTTTGCATTATGGGGCAAGCTCTAATTCGACAATGCAGACTGTAGGGTGGATAGAAGTAAGAGTTAGGTTCACCAATATGTCAATTACATTTTCAGGCTCTGCTGTCAATTAAAAAATTTATCCCTGCCGATTATTTTAGGGATTAATTTTCTTTAATTGAAAAAAAATGGCATGAAATTGACGAAATAATTGCTCCATTTCTAGATATAGGTGATATAGTTCAAAATAGACCAATCTTAATTGAATATGACAAATTACTTGAAAACTTATGAACAATCTTCACAACTGTATACCCTAGAAACCAGTGACGTCGAGCGACCAGTCCCATTAGGTCGTGATAGGTTAGGCTAGGTCGGGTTACGTCAGATTACCAAATTGGTCGCAATATGACCAGTCCCCTTAGGTCGTATTAGGTCAGGTTAGGTCGGGTTACGTCAGATTACCAAACTGGTCGAAACATGACCAGTCCCCCAGGTCGGGTTTGGTCAGGTTAGGTCGGGTTAGGTTGAGTTACCTAAATGGTCTCATACTGGTCTTAACCTGACCAATCCACTTAGGTCAGATTTGGTCGAAATTGGTTGAGTTATGTCAGGAGACCTAACTGGTCCGAACATGACCAGTCCCCCTAGGTCGTGTTTGGTCAGGTTAGGTCGGGTTAGGTCGAGTTAAGTCAGGAGACCTAACTGGATTGGGTTGGATTAGGTCAAACTTGGTTACTTTACCTAACTGGTCCTAACTGTTCATAACTTGACCCTTAAGTCAAATTAGATCTTGCATGGTTGGATTACCAAATTGGTCATAACTGGTCACAAATTAACCAATGCCCTTAAGTCTGATTAAGGTCGTATTAGGTCGGATTAGCACCTCCTGAGTTTCGCCACTAGATGTCTCCACCTGAAATTTAAATAAAAGCCACTTTTTGGCCTTGGATGGCTAGAATTTTCAAATATTATAATTTTTTTATTAATAAAAAATGACTTGTTTAATCAATTGGACGTCAAAACTTTGATAATTTGGACGTCAAAAGTTTGGTCATTTCGACGTCAAAAGTTTGGTCATTTGCACGTCAAAAGTTTGGCCATTTGGATGTCCAAAGGGACGTCATTTCGACTTTGAAAGTTTGGTCGTGAGGACATAAGAATCCTTGCGTAAAACGTCCTCAACACCTAAAATATGACGTCGCCGGACGTCGCACTGGTAATTATTGACATCCCCATGACGACCTTGGGATGTCTTCTGGTTTCTAGGGTAATGTCACACCAGCCTGCACATAAATAAATAACAAATATTTTATTGAGAGACATAAGAAATAGAATGTCAGAGTTGTCAGAGTTGTCAGAATTTAAATACTAAATCCAACCTTTACCAAGAGCAAATATCTCTAGAAAAAAATTTTTTAGATTTTGATGACGATCTAAATCTTCGAAACTGCGCTAGAACTAAGCTCTGGCATTCTATGAACTTTGAGAAACCAACTAAATCTTTTTGTACACTAGCTAAAGCACACAAGGGTAATGATTCCTTAAACCAACTTTAAAAAAGCGATGATCAGGGCAATATAGTGGATTATGAAAATGATGACAAACAAAATTCTGATTTATGTAATTATTTAAAGAACACCTAAAGCAAAATTCCGGAAAAAAACCTAATTCTTGAACAATTTTTTACTCCAGAAATTATGAACAGTGAGTATGTGCAATCAAAAAAATTATCTAATTTACCCAACAAGACAAATAACGTTCTCAGAACGTTAGATAACGTTCCTTTTAGGACTCATTGACGTTAATTAACGTCACTATTTAACGTTCCAGGAATGTAAAAAGGTACCCACTTTTACGTTATGTAACGTAAAAAATGGTACGTTATGCAACGTTAAGTTTAACGTTATCTGACGTTCATGAACCAAACTTTTACGTTCAGAAACCCCAAATATTGGCACAGTTTCCACGGAAGTTACATTTAGTAACGTTATTTAACGTAACAATGCACGTATAGTTGCGCACATGAACCTAACTTTTACGTCAATGAACCCTTAACATGGAAGCAGCTTTCACTAAAGAAACCCCAAATATGGGCACAGTTTCCACAGAAGTTACGTTAAGTAACGATAATTAACGTAACACAAAGTATGGTTCTGTGCATGAACCAAATTATACATTAATGAACCCTAAATATGGAAGCAGCTTTCACAAAAGTTAGGTTGAGTAATGTTATTTAACGTAACTATGACAATATGTTTACAAGAAAACAAAATTTGATTTTGATCAATCCAAAATATATGCTCATTTTTCTCCAAATTTACGTTGAATAACATTATTTGACGTATCAAAGAACAAAACCAAACACATAAGTACTTACCTAATGTTCTGATGAGAACACATATGTTCTTACCTATTGTTTTGTAGAGCACTATAGTACTTACCTATTAATCTGTAGGAAACACTTTGTACTAAACTTGTGATGTAAAAAATACTTTGTACTTGCCTAATTGTTCTATAAAGAACACTATGTTGAGAACACATTGGTACTATTTTTTAGTTGCATATTTGCTTATTATTCAGAAAATACTGTATAAAAGATATTAATATGCTCAGGTACCAGTACAAACGTCGGACGCACAAACGTCGGACACCACAAACGTCGGATGGTACAAACGTCGGACGCACAAACGTCAGACCTGTAGAAACGTCAGACCAGTACAAACATTGGACTAGTACAAAAGTCGGACTGGTACAAACGCCGGACCAGTACAAACGTCGGACGGGTACATTTATGAGAAAAAATGTCGGACTTGGTAGATTTTGAATGGACCATTGTTTTACAATATTTCAAACTATGAATTCTACAAGATGATGCAGTTTAATCCCTATATCTTTGCAACCCAATGCTGTAGATGTTTCCAAGAATGGTTTGTGGACTTATTGTTATATTTCCAGAGCTTCCTTTGACTACTTGTTTTTCTATCTCACGTGCTCTTTTCTTCAAAAGATCACTGTCATGTGTGTGCTCTCCCAGGAAACTGATAATCTTGTCATTCTCAAGAATTGTTTTTCCTTTGAATGCATTGGTAATAGGTTTTGTTGGGTTTCTTCTTTGTAACCCTATATTCAAACTGATTTGAATCAAGTAGGTGCCGTCCCCCTGCTTGACCTCAATATAGTTAGTCTCCTCGCCCATGTATCCAGACGACTTTGTGAGATTATGAATTTTTAACAAAAAAAAAATTGGGAATTTTTTTGAGAGAAAATTACGAATTTACAAGAATTTTAATCTGAAAATTCAAATATATTTTTCCTCCTTAGTCCGACGCTTTTCCTTTTAAATGTACCTGTTCGACGTTTGTACTGGTCCGACGTTTGTACCAGTCTGACGTTTGTACTGGTCTGATGTTTGTACTGGTCCGACGTTTGTACTGGTCCGACCTTTGTACTGTCCGACGTTTGTAAGTCTTATGTTTGTACCGTCCGACGTTTGAGGGTCCGACGTTTGTACTGGTACCTATGCTCAGTTTTTGAGGAAAAGGATAAAAATATACCAACAAATACATAGTAAATATAAAAAATCATGGAACTTCTATTAAACATATTTAACATCAAATTCAGTGATGGTTAATTATTTCTGTTAAATTCTTGCTTCCAGCTTTCGTTGATCGTTGATTATACTTGTTTAATTATCCCATGTGACAATTGTTCGAAATTTAACAAACATAATGACGCATAAAATAAAAAGATTCGTTTTTTTTCTTCTTCTGCTGCAGCTGATGTGAGTTAGACTGTAACTGATGTGTTTATCGGTATGCGACTCGCAAGTAACTGGTCTGGTGAATGAAGTGAGAGACTGCCCTGACTCAACACTCAACAGTAAGCGGACATGGTACCTATAAGGCTACCGGGTGTCCCACGAAACATGACAGTTGGTAAATAGTTGAGAATGTCTTTTTCCATGATTTGTAAAAAGATAATGAAGCAAAAGATTGTTTAACTAAAAATTATGATTTATTAAATGTCATGTTTCGTGGGACACCCTGTAGCAGCTAAACCTGATCGAGTGCGCTCCAGGTCAGGACGGTACATTATACAACCTGCAACCAGCTGAGGCACTCTACTTCAACCAGCAACAGAGGGGAAGTTGGGGGGTGGGGGTAGAATTTATCAGGATCTATCTTTCTATCAGATATGTTAAGGGAGGGGGGGGGGGGCTGATTCAAATATCTTATAATGCTGCTAAATTAAACTATTCACATGAAATGGTTTTCACAAAACATTTTTTGAAATGTTAAGGGCAATTTATATGAATAGCTAGTTTGGCATTGATATGGATTAAGCTGCAAAATTTGCAAAAATTTTGTTTCATATATCAATGCATGGATATTGGATGTAAAACTTTAAACCTTACAACGAAATAGGATATTTCGTAAATCAACGTTTATTTACGAACCCCAATTGCGTCAAATACCGTTATCTGACGTTCAAAGAAAACCTTGAGCCGACATTATATCTTACATTGTTACGTAAATTTACGCTAATATATTACGTAAATTTAAAGTTCAATATAAACCTAAAACTAACGTTACCAACCTTCGTAAAGGTACGTAAACTTACGTTATATAGATAACATTTACGTTATTTAACGTTCTGTAACGTTACAATTGTTGGTATTTTCCGTAACGTTGAATTACGAAATGATTTAACGTTAGTCACGGAAAATGGTTTCTAGGGTATAAAATTACATCAACACTCAAAAATAGGTGGTTTTACTAACCATAGTAACAATTACAGAGTCTAAAAAAAACCCTGTGTCCCAAATTTTAGCCGAATCATTAATGGACTGTCCTAGTGGATCAGAATGGGACCTAAACTAAAAGTCGTCCTTCCTGCAGAATCCCAGGAACAATTCAATCTCAAACATCATGGAGATGAGATTGGATTGTACACGGAACAGGAGAGGGATTTTGACCACATAGCAAATCTAAAATACTACAAGGAGCAGGTTACTAGCTCACTCATACACGTGGTATGTTTGCAAGTGTGATTTGAACCCTTTACCTGGAACCCCTTCCTATTCCCTGTCCAACCTGGAGAACGAAACCATAGAGTTGATCACTCTAGGACCATATAAATATTTCCTCCAGAAGATTTTAGCTCTGCTACTACAGGCAGTACATGCTGTGGCAGCATGTGGAGGCCTGATCACTGCGATGCAGTGGGAAATCTGGGTGATAAAGCTCGGGTAAAGGATGTTCAACACCTGCTGTAAGACACCATCTCAGCAGCACAAGTTCAGCCCTGAGATCCTCCTTGAACTGATGGGGGATTCCATGACAATTCCAGAGGTAGTGACCTAAACTATGAGGACATCCCAAGATTTCAGATACACCAAGGGAAAGGCGGGGGCAGAGGAAATGGCGGAGCTGGAGCCCCCACTCACTATAGGCTCTAAGCATAGTTAGAAGTGAACAAAAATCAGGGAAGGATGTAGATGGTGTCAAAATATTCGGGACTATTCCACTGTAGTTTACCCCTTTAACTTAACATTTCAGGGTAAGGGGGGGGGTTCAGTTCAGGGGGGCATGAGGATTATTGCCCCCCCCCTGTAGCCTACTGCTGGTGCTAGCCTTCCCCCCCTTGGTTTATCACAAAAATTGTTACTTTTACTTACTGGTTTTGCCTTTACATAAGTTTAAGAAACTTTTAATGTAATTCTGGAACCTTGTTCTGGAAAATTCAGGAATAATTTTTCCAGAAATTATCTGAAACGCTAGTACAGAACATTCTGGAAATTTTGGAACGTTTCAGAATTCCTGATTATTCCGTAATTCAGGAACAATGTTCTGGAAATTGCCGACTTACTGAAAAAAAATTGCTCTGGAAATCATTACGGATTTCCAAAACCTTTCCTTAATGGAAATGGAAAAAATTTCCAGACCAATTTTCGTAAGTAAAACTTAATTCATAATTCTGGTGGAAACCCTAGTTCTCAGAGTTCTCCGATCAAAATTTGAGGCAAATTGGTTAAGGGTTTATGAGTTATGATTGGACATCCAAACAAACAAAGTACTTTATATATATATAGAAAAGAAACCTGGTACAGAAGTTCCATAAAGTGGACCCCCACCTCCCGCCACCAAAACCACTTCTTCCCCAGTGGTCTTATTCTAAAATTAGAACTTTATATAGAAGAAAAAAACCAATTATGGAGTAAATTATTTTTAATGTGATAAGTTGGGAATTTGATTTTAGTCTAGGAAAACAAAAGTTAACAAAACCGAGAAATTACTTTCACATTTTTGTAAATACACAAAACAAAACGGCTTTTTTAATCTAATTATAAGTAAAATGGAATCATCATAACTGATTATTCTTTAATCAATCATTTTCATAACTTTGAGTAGATAATTTTTTGCTTCTTCATTTTTTTAAATGCTGTTCACATGTCTGAACTCTTTGGTTATTTTGTTCTGTAAAGTGTTCATGTTTCTTTTTACTCAATCATTGATTTTCCGATCTTAATACTGTCTAGAACTATAAAACAGCTCTTCAACTTGTTTTGCAAGATCATCCAGCAAATTTGTTCGATCAGAAAAGTTGCTTATTTGATAGATCAAACATAAAAAAATAAATTAAAATTTTTAAGTCTTTAAACTTACTATGTAGTCAAACTTTTTAAAAACTTATTACCAAGAAAGTTCCGCATCCGAAATAGGTCCTTCTCGTAAGCAGGTGCTGAAGTTCAATATAGGCTCCTGAAAATAAATTTTAGAAATGGAGTTTAATCCCCACACATCCCCTTCCCCTGTATACTGCTTAAAGCCCCCCTGATCTACCTGTGAGAACATCATACTGACGAGTTGAGATTTCATCTATCACAAGGAAATATCTGTCCAAATATCTACAAATACACTCAGTCAGGGGTGTAATCAGGAATTTTTCCAGGGGGGGGAATACATTTTTGTTTCTTTCCAGGGGAAGGGGTCAGCCCCTGTTGAGGCCTGAAAACCCCCTGAGATCCCCAATGACCATAGCCCCCCCCCCCCTGTCCATGCCTCTTGCACACAGTAATCTTTCTTATTGTTAGTAATGCTGCTGAATATTTAAAATTGCATTTGCAGGGATATATATATATATATAAATTATGCCAGATATGTTTTAGACTAGAAATCCCTAAAAGAATTTCTGATTTTATAAAAGGATAAAGAAAATTTTAGATAAAGAGTAAGTAGAATATTTTTTTTAATAAGGTGTCGGAAGGCTGATGTAGAGTATACCAGCAATTCCTTTTCCGTTATCGCCGGAAATTTGCCTGAAATATTATTATTTTTTTCCAGCAGGAAATGGTGCCGGAAACTTTCCAGTTTGAGTAAACCATTTTCATTCATGATGATCTGTGACTGGCGTGGCCATGTATAAAGAATTTTTCGTATAAACTAATCAATAATATTTCTCTAGATATTAAGTCTGAACCTTAGAATAGCCTAGCTTGAAAATGCTAAACCATGCAGTAAATTCTACAATTTGATTTTATTATTTTTTAGGTTAGAGTATTTTTACTTGGAAGCAGGACATAGTTATTTTAATCTTTTTCAAAACAATTTGAAAGAAATTTGATATTAAAAACTGTTTATCTTCTTTATAAACTGATATCAGCTAAACAATGAATTTAAAGAATTGGAAATTAAACTTTTGGGGGATATTCCGAGTTTGATGGCAAAAATCTTTTCCAGCGAAAAAACTTTCCAGAATTTCCGGCTTCTGGTGGAAATTTCCATAACAGAGACATACCAGAATTCTGTTTTCGGTAATTATGATTTCCGCCGGGAAAAATTCTACCTGAAAATTGGGCACTCTACAATAATATGTGTCCTAGAACCATTTAATGCATAACCCATCAAATTCAAATTTAATTCCTTAGTCAATCCATGGTGGAATTAAAAACTTGCTACGAACTTCTTTGATCTGTAAGTCCAAATAGTGATAATCCTGTAGCTAGGAATTTTTCAAGGGGGGGGGATATTGAGGATACTGCAGATATTGTGGACACTGCAGATATTGAAGATACCGCAGATACTGTGGAAGTTGCAGATATGTGGAGACTAGAGATCCAGAGCAGATTGATAGAGAGCTAGGATGGATCACAAAGATCACCAGCTACATGAACCACAGGAGAACTGCAAGTATGAGATCATAGATCTACAGCAGATTGACAGAGAACTAGGATGATCACCAGTTACAAGTATCACAGGAGAATATCAAAGGTCTGTAGCAGATTGATAGATAGCTAGGATTGATCAGGAGATCACCAGTTGTATTATCTATAGAAGGATTAGCTGAGACCACATCTAGCCCAGCAGGGAACAGAGGCTCAGATGAACTACTGAGGGACTCTTCCTAAATAAGAGCTAGTGGAGACTTGTCTTACCGCTGAGGGACTCTTCCTATATAAGAGCTAGTGGAGACTTGTCTTACCGCTGAGGGACTCTACAGATATATGGAGTATGATTTAATACAAATAGATATTAAGAGATATATTTGTACGAATAAAATGTATATTGATAAACCCACTTATTCAAGACCTTGAGAGATAGATATTATAAACAAGATGAGAGGTTTGGGTAAATTATGAATTGGTACTGGGAATGAAAGTGAAGTCTTGTATTAACCTTCAAAGATGAGGGACAAGGATTGATCTTGATTTCCCTAGGATTTATGTGTGGGATTGTAACGATATCAAAGGATTAAATGTTACATCAGTGAAGGACTATTTAAATCAGACTTTCAGCATGATAAGAGTAGGGAACCTTTTAGTAGATGCTGCTTGATTTCATCAATCTCATCATTTGCTTCTATGTTTCTTATTCCCTCATCACTTGTGGGACTTCTACTCTCTAGATCTTTCACTTTTTGTCTTAGGATGTCTACTGCTTTAAAGAGTTTGTTGATAAGGATGCCAACATCAGATGTATCAGGAGAAATGTCAGCCTTTTCCCCAAACCCAGGACCCCTGAGTTTCTCCAGGATTAAACCAATACTAATATCTTCCTTTTTTATTTTAGCTTCAGAGTAGGTTTGAAAGTTGTTCTTTTTCTTATATTTTCTTGACTTTCCGTTGCTTGCCATTTTTCTATTTATTGACATCCCATAACTGTTGTCAAGTACTAGAGAAACATGGACATGTGCATTCAATTAGAATATCTGTATGGACTGGACAGAGTCGTCTGTTCACTGTGAAAGTCGGAAACTGTACCCCCACGTTTTGATTCTCAGCCCTTTTTCTTTAAAGGAAGAGGGCACAGGATCCCCAAGGAGATACTTATCTCCAGTTCCCTCACCCTACCTATCTTTTCAGGGTTAGGGAAGCCTTTTTCTCTGAATATAACACTTCAAAAAAGTTGCAAAAGTATTGAAAAACAGGGCTTTCCTCTAAAGAATGCTAGATACTTTGTTATTGTGATAAATAAACCTCTTTATATCATTATAAATTCCAGACATAAATCCTAGGGATATCAAGGTCAATCATTTGCCCCCTTCTTTATAAAGAGTCTATACGAAGGCTTCACTCTCAATCCCAGTACCAGTTTTATAAAATACCTAAACTATACCTTTCTATAAGTTCATGTCTATCTCTCAGAGTGTAAATGAATGGGATTTATCAGTTTACATTTTATTGGTATAAATACATCTGTTAAAGTTTATTCCATGTTCAATCAATATTCTGTTTAGAAGCCCACAACTCTTTGTGTAGTTAAGCAGCTTCCTCAACTCGATAGCTTGTTTAGCTGCTCCAGTCCAGTATCTAACTTGGTAGCTCCCTCAACTTGATATCTCCTTTAGCTGCTCCAGTTCAGTATCTCATACACTTTAATCCTGGATGACTTTGTAGCTGCTTGCAATGTTTCTTAAATCCAGATGCTTCTAGAGTCTCTGTTATGTTATCTGTTACTATCTGAGATGCCTCCACTAGCTGAGATGCTTCCACTACATTCCCAGCTGCTTCTACAATAGGTCTATGAAGAGCTATTTGTCAAGAGCACCGTATCCAGCTTCAAGATTATCTTGTATGTTGCTCTTGGAGTCCTGGGTCTGGCAGGATACTCCAGTACTTCTCTATATCTTGGAGATCCTTTTCCCTATCTGTATCCTAGTTCATAATATCCTAATTCCTTCTTCTAGTCCCTCTCTGTATCCTGGGCATTCTAGTTCCTGATATCCTAGTTCCCCTCGGTATCCTAGAGCTTCTAGTTCCTCCCTATATCCTGGATATCCTTGTTCTTGGATATCCTAGTTCTCTCCTGTATCCTTATTAGTAGTTTAGACGGGACAGGCTTGTACAAGAGTAATTGGTCCAGTCCCAGAAACTAGAGGATATAAATCTCTTGATGAGATTAGAGTGGATCTCCAATTCCTGACTGGATCATCTAGCTGCTTCAGATTTGTGAAGAGCTGTCTGCAAATAGCAACATCTCCAATCTCAGGAAGGTATAGCATCTGGTTTCCTGAATTATCTCATTTCATATCTGGAGGATGATAAATCCCGTCCTCATAGATTGTCAAGAGATGTCATCCTCTCCTAAAGTCATTGATCTGTACTGGTATTCTAGCTGCTCCAATCCACGAACAAGATCAGATTCTTGTACAGAATCCTCTGTAGAGTATAGTGTAGCTCCTGATGTATTAGCTAGACTGTCTAGTTCTCTTTTATCTGTATATGCTGGTCTCTCTTTGTCTCCAGCGTTTCTGTCCCTAGGAACATCTGGAGAGTTTATTTGGACCTGTAGTTGAACTAGCTGAACTCTGGTTGGACTTGATTGTCTTAGATACGTGAGTTGCTCTATGTCTCCAGTAGCCCTGTCAATAGGACCAGCTTGAGCATCTCGAGTTTCCTCTGGTACCTCCTCATCCATAGTTGGACTATCTGTGTGGAGAGCTATCTGTCAAGAGTAGCTTCTCCAATATCAAGTTTAGCTTCTGCTCCTGGAGTCTTTCATCCTACTGGATCTTTTAGTTGAAGAGCTGTCTGTTGAGAGCAGCCTCTCCAATATGCAAGGAAGCAGAATCTAATAAATCTTATAATTGAAGAGCTGTCTATTAAGATCAGCGTTTCCAATTATAAGGAAGCAGCATCCAATAAGTCTGTATATCCTAGTCTTCTTTTGCATTCTTGGGGGTAGTCCAGACAGGTCGGTACAAGAGTAGTTGAACTAGTTAAACTGGGGTAGTACTTCATTGTCGTAGATCTACCACTTGCTCTTATAGCTGCAGTGGCCCTCTTAGTAGGACCAACTTGAGCATCTAGAGTAGTTGAACTAGATGGGCTGGGGTAGGACTTGATTGTTCTAGATCTATGCTTGCTTTATATCTCTAGTGGCCCACTTAGTAGGACCAACAAGAGTATTTAGAGTCTCTTCAGACACCTCTCTATCCATAGGTTGCTCTATAACTCTAGTTGCCCTCTTAGTAGGATCAGCTCAAGTATCTGGAGTAGTTGAACCAGTTGTTGAACTGAGGAATGTTGTTCTCCTGATATACTGAGAAACCTGAAGATATACTTGTGTATGTGATGATATGAAATAGGTTGCTGGCCTTGCCTCTTGTGTCCTCTGCTGAGCAAGTCAATAACCTATTTGTTGGCTGTCTATTAACTGTCTGTTAGCTTTCTATGAAGTACAAGTCCCCAGGCCTAGATTGGAATACAAGGAAGCAAAAGGCTCAAATGTGTTTTCTATCTGGGATCCTGGAGTGTACTGACAAATCCTTGGTTCTATATTTTACTTTGACTCAGAGAACAAAGAGAGAGAGAGCGCGGAGATAGAACTGCGGTATGAGCAATCCATTCTTCAAATATTACAATATCGCCATTACATTTAATGCAATGAAACGTATTTATGAAAACTTTCTCACCTAACTGCACACCGATAGAAGCCAGTGGATTGAAGTATAGGTCCTGCAAATGTTTGGCCTTCATCTAAAAGTTTATGATTAGAACACAAAATTTCCTAGTGATCAAATTGACCTCTAGATTCTGCCATGGGCTTGGCGTAAGGGCGAAGCAAAGTTTCGTTAATGAAATGAAGGCTTTCGAAAATTTACAGAAGAGTTAGTTAAAAAACCGTTAATTCTAAAATCGTTAACAAAATAGATTAGCCATTTTTGAAAAAAAATAATGGCTAAAAGCGAAAATGAAACATTTTTATTTGAACAAAGTTTGCTCTAAAACTGCTAGAACAAACAGCTACCTTAGATTTTATTTTAAAAACGGTTGGAACTAACCGTTCCTTGGGAATGATCGCTTTTCCACAGGAATGAATAGAACAAACGACTTCAAAAAAAAAAACATATGCCCGACCTCAATTAAAAATAAAATTTCTAGTTTTAAGGTATTTTGACTTTTTCTTATTACTTACTATTTTCCTGGTAATACTCCGCCAAATTTGTATAAGGGCCTAGAATAGATAAAAAATTTTATTTAGACTACAGACTTTTTTTTGGCTATTGGTTTTATCAGATATTGATTTAACCCTAACCAGGATCTAGTTTTTTGCCTTGGCAATCTCATTTTAAACACTATCACCTTGAAATTGTTTGAATTTTCATAAATAGGAATTTTAAGGATTATATGTGATTTTTTTTTTTAAGGGCCGTAAATAGTCTGGTCTGTGCGAAAAAAATATATAAAATAGCCCATAACTCTTTTATGACTAAAGCTATAGATCTAAAAACTATATTTTTGAAAAGCCCTTGAAAAATTAATGTAGAAATATGTGTCACACTTAGATATTTGTTTTCAACAGAAAAAAATATTTATTACATATGTTTACCTTTTTTATGGCATTTACTCAATCCTCCCTAGCACCCATACTACAAAATGAGCTGGCCTTGAAAATTGGGCCTTAAACATGCATTCAAACCCTATACCTATTCTCTAAGGCCACTTTCTAGGTGGGTAAGCATGGGACACCCCCCCCCCCTGTCTTTATTCAGACCCCCCAGCCTTTATAGAGTAAACTGAATTGCTCTCAGATGTCAGTTTGTTCTCCAGAAAAGCAAATTTTTGCAAATTTTACTGTTAAAGTTGGTGCATTTAAAAATTTTTTTGACATTGCTTACAAGGAAACAAGTTAAATCTAGACCAACCATACTATTCCCTGGGGTCTTGTGAGACTTACAGTAAACTAAGGATCCTGGTTTTTTAAGTCATAAGCCAAAACTCATTTGTACCAATTACATGAAGAGTTTTTGAATATGATATTTGTTGTTGACCTTTTCATTTTAAATATTAATGTATTTATAGCTAAGCACTTTTTTTCGACGGATTTTTAATAAAAGATCAAAAAAAAAATCATTAATTTTATTTTGGAAAAACACTTTTTTTCTTTGTAATTGAGCTTTAAATTTCAACTTGTTTTAAATGTTTCTATGTGATTGTAACGATCTAGGTCCCGATCAATCTCTCTATACTTGACTCAAACTCCAATATTCAGTCTTCAAGACTCTATCTCTATAGCCAAAACCCTGGCTCTGTATGTCTGTTTGAAACGACAATTGATACTACACTAATTTATTAATACAGGTAAATATGAGTTGACCGGGTTGGCTGGTCAGGGTCAAACACAACATAGTTAATAGATAAACGAAACATAGATAATAAAGATAGTATACTGATATAGCCCCAAAATTTATTACAAATCCTTGGGAACAGGGTGATGAGATCCATAGTTTACTGAGAACAACTATATCTCATCAATACAGCCTCAAACCTCTCCAGCGCTTGACATCAACCTCTCCAGCTGAATTGGATCCATCCTGGGCTTCTCTCTGTTCTTCAGTCTCGCCCAGTTTAAGGTTAAACGTGTTATAAGGGCACTGAGGGTGGCAGTCACTCCGTACAAGACGGTACTGATCATTACTAAGATCGTCAGCATGCTGTACTCCAGCATCAGCAGGGTGTTCAGGAACGTCTTCAAATACTCAATTTCTTTCAGGACAGTGTTAAAAGGATTGATAGACGACAGTAAAGCTACCCTCTTGTATGAGTTTCCAGAGCTCTTCAATGTTCATGCCAGCCATCGTACTGCTGGAGCCGTAGGAACAGGACTCCTCTATACATAACGCGTTGAGAAGACCCTGGCTTCTCGAATGTTGGAAGGATGGCAACTGATGGTATTGCTCCCAGGCACGGAGTTCCTCTGACATATATAACATCGTTATACGTTCAGTGGGCTATACTATAATCTTCTCTGGAGCCTCAACTTGCATTACTCGTGTAGACACTGATATCCACCCAGCGGATGTAGACTTTACTATGATGGGATGTCTGTCGCTGCAGGAGTATTCATATACTATCTCACCAGTCCTACGGACAAACAGGCCAGCTTCCCTCTTGACTGGATGAAGATAGTCACAATCATTTCCCACACCGATCCAAGTAGCACATCCACCCCAATCCACATGCTCATTGAGGTCTCTCATAGACTATGCGTTCTGGTGTTCTAGATATTTGAGCGTGGGGATTAGTCCTGATCTTCCCTCAGGTCCTGACTGATGATACCGGGCAACCCTGCAGCTCTCTTGTCAAACGTGATGTAAACTGTCCCCAGGGTGTGGTAGAGGGTCAGCTGTGGGCATCAAGGGAGCACACAACCTCCTTTTTTGTGGTTTTGAACATCATCGCCAACTCGTCAGATATCATTAAGTATTTTTCCTCAGGTCTCAGGCTAGCAGGACGAATTTTCTTGAATGGACAGGCTGCTGGTTGTTTATCCAGAATTTAGACTTTGGGACCATCAATACACCAGTTAGGGTTACAATCAGAAGGAAGAGCAATTTTTTAATATTTTGCTGCAGTTTTACCTTCTCTGCTCCTGATGTAGACCTCCTTGGAAATCGTGAAGCACACCTGGGTCAGGACCAATGACTGGTTGGCAAGAGTTCCCTGATGTAACGGAAGACTCACACCCTAGCAGTAAGTATTGGTAAGATGGAGGGTAATCGATCCATCCTCCACATACTGATAAATGATGGTACCTCCAGGAGCAATCTTCATCTTCTTGCCATCACAAGCTGTGTAGAATCCCTTGTTGCGGGCTGCCAAGCACTGGTCCAAGGTCACCTCCTGCTCCGCCTCGACCTCGGGGAGGTCCATGAACTTCCAGTGCAAGTATGCACCACAATATCCCTGAAAACGGGAGATAATTGCAGTACATACCACACCGGGAAGCTCATGGACATATTCCTCCCCGAGGATCCAGGCATCCCGCGCTCCGCTTGCTTTTCTTTTATCTTCTTGGAAGGAACAGAACAATCCTCAGGCAAGTGGTATTTATGTATAGCAGTTGGAGTGTTGCAATCAAAGACATTCATGGAGAAAGGCGATTCCCTCCAGTCTGCTTTTCCTTCAGTGCCCATGATAGACGTTAGGATAAGCAACAGCATGATCATGGTCTTAATGAGATTCAATCTCCAGGTTGTATATGACTGTGTGACTGACTCTCGGCAATTGATTCAGTGTTAGAATTAGACGCTGTTGCAGCGGTGCCCGGCTGCGCTGCTAGCACTCTGCCCTGGCCCTGAGTCCCGCTTGCCTTTCCTAGCTGTGAGGAATGCTGTTTGGTATCAGCGGTACCTCTCGTCCCGGCTTGTCTGCCTCAGTCTCCTGGCGCGGCGGCTGCCTCTCGTACCGTCACAGACTGGTCCTGGCAGGCATCCACTGTCGTGACGTCACATTCCAAATGTCTTCTCATTGGCTGCAAACTCTGCCCCCCTCCGATGACCCCCCTCCCGCAGGCACATTGCTCCAATAGGCAATTTACGGATTTCTTGCATTTCTTTGATTGGTCCTCCTGGTCCCAGCTGGTATCATACTCTTCGTAACTTACAGGCAGGGTGTCTTGTAAACCTCGTTTATTTCCCTCTCTCTTTCTCCACTTTCCCTGGCTGGAATTTCCTCGTGCTCTATCTGCCCCCTCTTCACCCCCCCAACCCCCTCCTGCATATCTATCTCGTTCTCTGGGCTGTGTGTTGGTAGAACATCTGTGGGTTGGGGTGAGGCTACCCGCGGTTGTTCTTCTAAATTCTCTGGATCTGGGAGTGGGTGGAAGCATGCCCCCCCCCCTCTTCCCCTCCTTGCATTTGGACATCTCCATCTAAATCCAAGGTGGGGCTAGCTGCCCCTCCCAGCTCTATATCCCTCAGTTCTAGCTGTGTCTCATGGTCAGTCTGCCCAGCTAAATCCCTCCTGTCCCTCTGGTCGTGGTCACCCCTGCCCAGCTGTCCATCCCTGCTCTTTACCCTTTCTGTTGTCAGTTTCTCTATGTCTAGATTAGGAATTTCTTTAATCTCCTCTTCTCCTTAGAACGTGGGGTGGGGGGGGGGGATCACTGGGGGAGCTGTGCACATTGTTCTCCCCTCAGAATTCTACACTCACAATCCTTGGCTTTCCCTGCTCAAATACTGTTATCACTTCAGCCAGTGCTGGGGCCAGTAACCTGATGATTTTATACAGCCCCGCCCAGTATGACCTGAGTTTATCACAACTGCCTGGGATTACCCTGGGATCAAAAATCCATACCCACTGAGCTACGTTAAACTGGTTCATTATAGGCTTATAGTATTGTGCATTCCTACGCACAGCTGCCTGTTGCTTCTCCCTCATCCCTGCATAGGCAGTTTGGAACCTTTCCTGTATTGTCTCCGTCCAGTCAGATACATCCATCTCAGCATCCGGCTTGGGAATAGGGTAAACCCAATGTATGGGAACTATAGCTTCTCTCCCAAAGGTTGCAAAGAACGGTCTGGCCTGTACTACCATGCACTGTAGTGTTGTAGGCCCAACAAGCCGCCTTTACACCTAGGTCCCATTCATTGTGCATCTCACTGCCCATTGTTCTCAATATACTCACTATTGTTCTATGCCATCGTTCTACGATGTTAGAGGATGGATAATATGGCTGGGTTTTAGTATGTAAAATCTTTAGTTCACTTAATAGTTTAATCCATAGCTTATTGATAAACTCTTTGCCATTATCACTATGGATTTGATTTGGCAATCCAAACACACTAAAATGTTCATGTATCAATACCCTAGCCACAGTGCCTGCCTCCTTATTGTAAATAGGATATGCACTTGCAAACCTGGTAAACCCATCCTGTGCTGTCAGTAAATAACAATTCTTTCTCACTGTTTCTGACATGCAGACTAAGTCTATAAACACTTTCTCTCCTACATTGTCCACTGTGCTAGGCATGTGAGGCCCTCTCTTGGCTTAAATACTCCTTTCTTTGGCTAGGCAGGTGTTACATCAATCTACCAATCGTCGTATCTTCTCACGAGCAGACATCACAAAAAATGTTCTTTGAAACATATCCAAGGTTCCTGCCACGCCCCTGTGTCCTCCTGCCACGCCCTTATGACAGATCTTGAATACTTCACCCCTTCCTGTTTCTGAGACAGAACCCCTGCAATGTTCAGAGACAACCAGTCCGTAGTTAGAATAAAAGGCTCATCCGAATCAAAATCTGGGTAAACTTGAATCCACCCTGCAGAAAACTCCGCCTTCAAATCTAGGAAATCCTTCTCCATATCTTCCGTCCAGACAAATTTCTCCAGCTTCTTCAGACTATTCATCCTGTTGGTCAAAGCTGAGTACCTCAGGATAAAACCTCTGTAATAACCTGTGAAGTCTAGGAATGACGACATTTCCTTACAACTTGTGGGACCTGGCCAGTTCTGTATATCCTTAACATACTGATCCAACATTTGTACTCCACCTTGACTTACTTTGTGTCCAAAATACTCGGTTTCCCTGCCTTGGTGTGCGCCTCCACAATACTCTTCAGGTGCTTTAGGTGGTCCCAGGTATCCATGGAGTAGACCAGGATGTCGTCTAGGTATGATAACCAGTACTCCACGGGTAGATGCGCCAGGGCCAGGTCCAACATCCAGCTATAGACACTTCTGGCATATGACAATCCAAATCCCATCCGGATGTAACAAAACGTCCCAAACAGACTGATAAGAGCTGTAAAATCTCTACTCACTTCTTCTATCTGGATGGCATGATATGCACCACAGGCGTCGATAGAAGTGAAGATTTTTGCTCCCTTCAACTTCAGTAAAATTCTCCTGGATATTTGTCAAGGGATAAGCATCCTTGATAGTGATGTCATTCAGCTGCCTCAGGTCGGTTACCCATCTTGTCCTTCCATCTCTCTTCTTCACTGGAGCTACTGGCGATGCCCAGGAACTGTTAGCATGTTCTATAATCCCCAGTTAGATCCACTCATCCAATTGCTCCTTCAGAAATGCATTCTGATCTGGGTTCAATGGCCTCACCTTGGATCTTTTAGGTATTGCTACAGGCTGTAGTTCTATCCGCAGCTCCAATAAATCTTTCTTCCCATAATGATTAGGATGTAATGCTAATGTAGAAAAGTTCTCCAAGAAAAGTTTGGTCACCTCTTCCTTCAACTTCCCTGTTCAAAATCTCGTTCTCATCTATCTTAAAACTATCCTTGATTAAGTTCCTTCTACTCTCTTCTGTGGGGAAATCATATTCTGCATTCAGATCTTGCGCTGTACTTCTCCTTAGTTCCTCCTTAACCCAGGCTTCCTGGTCTATACACATACTGTGTACTGTGCCCAACTTTTGTCCCACACTCAAATATACACATTCCTCTGCTTGATTCTCCACATATACAGCTTGCACACTGCCTGATAGGTCACATGTGTTATCCAGAAGTGAAACCTTTCTCCCCTTTCCCTGTTCTTCTTAAGGCAAAGATTCTACCACTCCAGCACCACTCCAGTTTCCTTCCGTTCTCACCTTGACTAATCTGGCACTTCTGGCAGGGATGGTTACTTTCTTTGCAGCCCATAACTTCCTCTCTATCACTTCCTCCACCTGATTAACACTGCCTACTTCCAGAGCCCTCTTCTCTGCTTTCCACATGGCAGGAAGTATTTGCTCACATCTTTTCATCTCCCTATCTACTCATCTGCCTTTAATCATGAAAGGAAAAAGTTTCCCATACGCACTGCACAATCTTGTTAACTTTTCTTTGCCATTTCAGTGACTAGCTTTACTTCCTTCTTTGTGCAGGATATGGACACTTCCTGCTGATAGAAAAACTCTATCCCAAAGTTTACTGCATGATTCAGGCCTTCTATCATGATTGGCTCTACTTCAAATCTAAGGTCCAGTCCACCTAAGTGAAACTTAATCCTTTCTCCTTTCCCTAACACCCTCAGGCCTTTTCCACCTTTCTCTGCAGTACTCACTCTAGCATTACTTTCCTCTAGCATTTTCCCCCCTATCATCTTCCAGATTTCACTCAACACTAGAGTACCTTACAATAAATTGCCTGTATCTACCAAGGCTAAACCGTATATATCTCTCTTAAATAGTTTAAACTTCACATAGGAGGTCTTACGGTTGTCCCTCTCACTTATATTTACATTTTTCAGGTGCATAAGAATATTCTTCTCCCATTCCTTAAAACCTTTATTCTTATTGCCATTAGGCCTCAAACTATCACTCACTTCTGAATTAAAGTCATTTTGCAACTTCATGCCAGTATTTATACTATCCAATACTTCCGTTCTAACTTTATCTCTCACTTCCGAGTCTAACTTATACAAATCATGGACATTATTTTTGACAGAATTGTTTATTAAACAATTATTAAATACATTCAAATCATTATCTTATGTCATCCTTGGAGTTGATGACCGTCCGTCATCCCAACAAAAACCAAATCCGGGGCCAGTTTCTTCAGAACTTCCTGCATGGCTGCCAAGGATTTGACCACTTCCGCCATCTACCCGCCTCCAGCTCCGCCATTCCCTCTCCTTCCCTGGTTTCTCCTCTCCCCCCTGCACTCCCACAAGATATGGCCATCTTTCCGTCTCAGTAACATTTTGCCTAGTACAAGTTTGCCTAGTACACTTTCGCCTAGTACATGTTCGCCTACTAACTTTTTGCCTAGATAACATTTTGCCTAGATAACATTTTGCCTAAATACAGTTTGCCTAGACAACATTTCGCCTAGTTAACATTTTGCCTAGATAACATTAGAAGGTAATTTTTGCCTAGATAAATTCACTAAAATTTTTTTTCAAAAATTTATAAAGTTCCTCTTTTTTCTCAAGAAATTCAATTAAAAGCAAAAAAAATGTATTATAATAATGTTTACAAATTTTTTCTTAAAGGGCACTAGCTCACTGGAGATCATGAGCCAGCATTTTCAGATAATCAGTTTTAGGCATTGTAGCAAAAGCTTGTACCACCCAGGGTTGCCAAGTGGCTGTGGCGACAGCCACTTTTCACAAATGTGGCTTTATAAAATTCCAAATGGCTGTGAAAAAAATCTTGTGGCTTTGTGGCTGTAAAGTGGCTGTAAACCAAATTTTCAGAAATTTCCTGATCTATCTAGTATTACTCAATGTTGTAGTTTGGTAAATGTATACAAGATTTAAGTTTTTTGATTAGAATGAGAGAACTAGAAGTTTCAAGTTCAAATGTCTAGTGTCATGAAGTACAAATTATCAGCGTACACATGTTTTGCATTAGAGTACAGATATACTGTCGTACTCACAGGCTGACAGCCACACAGAGTACAGACTGAGACAGTAGTAGACACTCTGACTTGTTTTTACTCAATCAATGACCAAATCTACCATACTACAGTTAATTAATTTGTATCATTATTCATTTGTGTTAGATTTTAGTCAATTAGGTATCAGGTATCTAAAAATGATAATAAATCTATGAAATTGGTATATTAGTAGCATTATACCTTAAAATATATCAATTCAAATTTCAGAACACTATGCCCAAAGTACCCAGCAGGAAATTTAAAGGAGAATGGGTAAAAAAATATCCTTGGGTCCAGAAGAGTGAAGGTAAGTCAGGTCTTTATTATCTATAGAATATCTTAGTTTTTAAGCATCTTTTGAAGGGATGATAAAACCAACTTAAAAGCATGATAAACTTTTTATTCTATTTATTCTTCAGGCCTTTCCGAGTATGCCTACTGTACATATTGTAAAAAAACAATAGAGCCTAAGCTCAGCACACTGGCTAGCCATGGTACCTCTAAAAGCCATCTTTCAAATGCTCCAAACAACCCCAAAAATCAGGTATATTTAAAACTTCAATATGACAAATTATGTCCATGTGTTACATATGAGATAGGGGGTCTAAAAATTGTATTCTAGGAAATTACTGCGGATTTCTTATTTACCATCTGAAAGCTTGCACTCATGTTAAGTTAATTGAACCTTATTTTGTTCAGACTTCTATTCCGTTTCCTGTAATAAAACATAGTAAAAAAGACAAACAGATCAAAAAGGCTGAAATTAGACTTGCAGTCTCAGTTGCCTGTCATACAGCTATCAAGTCTGTCGACCACATTGCAGAAATTGTAAAGTCGGAAGGGACTGGAAGTGTTTGGGAGAATACAAAACTGCACCGCACTAAATGTGGAAAGATAATTTCCAAGGTTAGTACTCACATTGTTAATTTTAATTAAATGAGGCACACTTTTTTACTAAATTTAATTCTTCAGAAAACATTTTATAATACTCCTTCAGAAATAGATTAATAAGGAATGATTTCTTTAGGTTGTTGCAAAGTCCCTTAAATCTGCATTGAAAGCAAGTATAGAAGGAAGGGGTTATTCTATTCTCATCGATGAAAGCACTGATGTTAGTTCCAGTAAACTTCTTTGTATTTGCATAAGATATTTCAACAGTGAACTTAACAAAGTTGTTGACGAGTATCTGGACACTGTGGAAGTGCTTGGGACTAAAGGAGAAGAGTTATTCAATCATATAATGGAAGTCTTAACTGCATGGAACCTAGATGTTAACAATATGGTGGGATTTGGAAGTGATGGGGCCAATAATGTTTCTGGAAAATTAAATTCAGTTTGGTCAAGGATTAAGGCCTCCAATCCAAGTGTAATACAGATTAAGTGTACCTGCCACTCTCTTGACTTGTGTGTGGCTCAAGCTTTCGATGCCATGCCTTCCTCTGTAGGGTATTTGCTCCAAGAAATACCAAACCATTTTAATAAGAGTAGTCTCAGGAGGGATGCCTATACAACCCTGTTCAGTGTTATGCATCCATCAGGAGATTATTCTGTTCCATCTCCCTTCACTAAGTTTTCTCAAACTCTATGGCTAGTTAGGGGTAAGGTCTTATACAACCTAAAGGTGAACTGGGAAGAACTGAAGGCCTACTTTATGTGTGCCCTGGAGAATGCTGGATCAGATGTACGGTACAAACTTCGTACTATTCTTCAGGAACTCAACAATGAAAGGAATTTAATGTATGTTATTTTTCTGGTTCCTGTAATCCAGGAGTTTGAACGTGTCAACAGCAAGTTTCACACATCAGGGGAGGTGGATGGTCCAATTCAAGACCTTGTTCTTCTACACAAAGTCCTCAAAGCCAGAATTTTTGAAACCAATGGACACCGACTGAAACTGGAAAACATTGACTTTGGGTACTGTTTGGATGATGCTCTGCACAAGTCCAAGTTAGATGAAAGGCAGGTTCATGAAGTTAAAGTCATGTGCATGAGTTTCCTCATAAAACTCAGCCATGAGGTGGAGAAGAGGCTTCCAGACAATGAAAACATATTCAAGGAAATTTGAAAGCTTTATTGAACATTAATTAATTTTAAATTTTCATACATATTGAAACAATTGATTTAATTAAAGCAACGTAAAAGTATTTTTTAACTCATTACATTCAGCTTTGATTTTAAGGATCTAAAGAAGTTAACACCACTAGCTGTGCTCTCTGAGTCTAAGCCACCTTTTAGAGCTTTACCCTTTCAGAAGTTCTTAACCTTGAATGGAAGAGACATTGAAAAGTTAGAAACCCAATACCGGCTTATAGACCAGATACCCTGGTCTGATATTCTACAGGTGAAATTGACATTGATAATTGTAAAAACTGAAAACATGAGGATATTTACATTTATAATTCTTAATTAAAAATAAATTTTTGTAAGATTAAATTATTTGTATATACTCTGTTGTTTAATTATATGAATGATTTTTTACAGCCTATGCCAAGTGAGATGGCTCAATTCTGGAGTGGAGTAAGGAGCTATAAGAGGAATGGAGATCTCATGTTCACTGAGTTAGCTGCCTATGCTCTGTCATGTCTGTCCATTCCAATCTCTACAGCTGTTGTGGAAAGAGTTTTTAGTCAAGTACTTTCATTAAGAATAAACAGAGAAATAGATTGAAGGTTCCAATGCTAGATGCTCTACTTACCATCAAATCTCACCTTCAGGTTAGAGATATGTGCTGCAAACACTTTCAAGTCAAGGAAGACATGATAAGAAGTATGAACTTCACCATGTACCTGCCAGTGGTTAGACTTGAAGATGGTGTTGATGAAGAAGGGGATGAGAATATCTTCAGGAATGGCATTTTATCACTTTGTTGGATTTTATTTAAATGTTTTTAAGAGATAAGGAATTGAGTCTTTGCCACAAACTCTGATTTTATAAACCTTATATCTTTGGAAGCCAATGTCTTAGATCTTTGACATTTCAAACTATGACCTCTGTTAGATCAAATAATATAAGTTTGAAATATCGAAGGTTAACGTCATTGGGTTCCAAAGATATAGGGATTAGAAAGAAAGAGTTTGTGACAAAGACTCAATTCCTTTGGTACTAAAAGATTTCAAGTAAATATAAAATTTGGCTTTTTTCAGCAGTAAACCTTATTAGTATTCAATAATTAAATCGTGACAATCTAAAGTGTTATTTTGCCATAGAGAAGTAGCTAGCCTACTTCTTTAGAAACGTAAATAATTCTTTAATTTCAGATGAAATGACATTAAAAGATGTGCTGTTTTGTTGAAATACAGTAAATATATCACACAGGCAATTTAGTAGGGGTGAAAAAACACTGAAATAGGGTGTATTTTAAGTTTTAAGAAATGGCTGTAAAGTGGCTGTAAAAAAAAAAAATTTGGCTTTGAACTAAAATTTTATGTTGGCTACCCTGCAGTACCACCAGTTTAACCCTCTGTTTTGCATCCTTGGCTCTCTGCTTTCTGCTTGTATTATCAGCCATATCCTGGCCAACTGAATTAGAAAGAAATGCTCGTCTTGCATCAGCATCTTGTTTGACAAACTGGTCCTGAATGTGCCAAACATTTGGACTGTACCCAGACAATAAATTCCAGGTACGATTAAAGGATTCCAGCATATTGTTTGTTTCCATTCCATCCTCTAGAACTGTGCTGTACTGGTTCCAAAGACAGGGTGGGAACAATGCTCTCCTCCCACCCCGTTTTTCAATCCAAGTCTGTGAATAGTAGTACCCAAAACGATCAATCTCCTGATCATAATCCTCCCATTCTTGATCATGATCAACTCCTTCTTGAACCTGGGGAATGATCACTTCATCATAATAGCTTTTCACCTGATCCACAGGTACGTAGCAGAGTGTATACATCAGATAGATTAGTTACTGGAACCTGGGATTCTGATTAAACAGTTCCTGAAGATGATGATCTCCCAGGTTCTTCCAAACTGCAGCGTTGTGATGAAATCTGCAACCTTTGTGGCTCACGGTTGGAAACACTAGCACACTTAGAGAACACAGCCTGCTCAAAATCTGAGATGACTGTTTTAGGACAGTTTTGCTCCCCAACATGCTTCTTTATCTTGTTGAAGAATATGTCATAGGTTTCTTTTTTCTTGTTAGGAAGGAGACCAAAGACACAAGGTTTACCCTTTCCTCCTATCTCAGATGCTGCCATACCAATATATACCTAAGAATTATTACTCTATATATGTCTATAAGTGTAAAAAAATGTTAAAAAACAATATTTAGATCTAAAAGTTTACCTGAGAAAAGGGTACTGGGGCAGACTTAAAGGTCCCATCAAATAGCCAAGTCTTGTGTGTTTTAAGAATCTCAACTGCCCATTTGCTCATAAATATTGCCATAGATTGTGTACATTCCACATCAATCCAATCTTTGTAAATCAGAAATTCACCCCCATCAGCTGCCTTGGTAAACTTGTTAGGAATGTCAGTGTCCATGTACTCCTCAAATGTAGAAGGGAGTTTAGGTCTTGGACTGATAACTTGTCTCTGGCGCCACAACTTCATCCTGATGGCACCAGCAGTTGATGAACTACTCAATTGTCCAGGAAAGTTTGATGAAAGCATGTTGTAGCTAATTTCCTGGAGAACTGTTGATGGAGTAGCTCCCTGAACCCCTGCATACTTAAACAAGACTGCTGATTCAGTTTTCTATGCAGACTTTTTCATCAGCTGATTTCCATGTTGGTTACTTGGCAGAGTATCCCAGGTTTCCACTCGATTTCCTTGTTCCTAAGGTGGCATCACATTTTCTGTTTGAACAGCGCCAATTATAAACTTTCTGACTACCAGGTCCATTGGAGACATATGAGAAATGTTGATTATCAATTATGGCTGGTCTGCCTCTTTTGGTTTTCCCTGCCTGAATTAAGGACGTCATGTTGACATCAATGTCAGTAGAAAACTGAATGACTTAAACTACAAAAAAAAATTGTGAAATATTAACAGTAAAAATTGCGTATTTTTGTTCCAAAAGCTGGTTAATTTGAAGAATGTTAATCTAGGCGAAAATTACTCTCTAATGTTATCTAGGCAAAATGTTATCTAGGCGAAATGTTGTCTAGGCAAAAGGTTATCTAGGCAAAATGTTATCTAGGCGAACTTGAACTAGGCGAACATGTACTAGGTGAAAGTGTACTAGGCAAACTTGTACTAGGCAAAATGATACTGAGCTATCTTTCCCACAATTATAACAGGAGATTGAGGGGCCGGAGATAGTACTACCAGGGTTACTTCCATACTTCTTGTTAGGATTCTTCTTTTTCCACTCATCAAACTTCCTGCAATCTTTCTGTTGGTGTCCAGGTTTTTTACAAAAATAACACACATCTGCACTCTGCAAAGCATTTATCCTGTCCTCTGCGTTCAAATCCTGGATATCAGACACGTCCTCCACCAACCCAGGCATGGCATTGACGTCCATAGGCACCTGTCCTGTCTTCAACATCTTGTTGGCCTTGTTGATCTCGCTCTTAACATACCCATAAATGCTCTGCAGTCCCCCCATATCCTGGGCGGGAGCCCTTGGGTCTAGGTTGTACGTCCTCAATTAAATAACTGATGATCCAAGACTGCCTTAATCTCCCTTTCATGCTTAATTTCCTTAGGCATGAACATCAAACAGGTTTTCCTCAATTCTGCATTATATAGCCCTAGCAACATTGCATTCTTGAACTCAACCAGACTTCTCCTAGCTGGGGAATAAGCTTGAACAAATAATCTCAACTTGTCAGTTTAATATTGTCGAGCATCTTCGTTCCTAACCTGCCTTCTGGCCATGTACTCCATCTTCTTGCCCTCCTCATCCTTCTCGTACATGAACTTCTTTAATAACTCTTGGAAGAAATCACCAATCTCGTATTTTTCGAAAGCTAATCCATCAGGTCTCTACAATACTACCTCTGACTGTGCCTTTCCCTCTATACAATCTATTAGCATCCGCTTTATCACATCATTGGGGATCATCTCACACTTGTACCTTGATAGATGTTTCTCCAATTCATTACACCAGTCAACACTTTGCCAGGGTTGCCATTATAGGGTGGGGCAACACTGCTAAAATTCGCAACTTCTTCTCATATGCAGCTTCCGCCTTACTCAGCTCTGCGTACATATTGAGTGTAGCTCTCCCAGCTGCCCTCTCCGCCTTTAGCAAGCTCACATAATACTCTTGCAAATCCTCTTGCTTAGGAAGATCAAGCAGCGCAATTACTCTACCAATCGGATCTTGTGTTTCTGGAGTAGCTGTCTCTGACCATGTCTTGGAGAATGCTTGATCCGTATCCTTCCTCTGAATATCGGCCAGCTTCTTCTCAGTCGCCGCTTACTTCGCCAGGAGCATCTGGAACTGCTCCCTCATCTCCGCCAAGCCGTCCGCCACTTGGGTAGGTGGTCCCTCCATCTCTACTTCCGATCCAGAATCGTCGCTGGGAAAGTTTGGGTATCCTTGAAAAGTTGCCACTGTATTTCCTGTAGCCACTCTTGGTTCACTCTTGGGTAAATTGTCTCCCGCTAAAGTTTCTTTGGCTAACCTGTTAAACCAGGTTTTCACTTTACTCTTTTACGAGAATACTTTCAGAGTCTCGGGAATCTAGATCTGGGTCATAGGTTATCCCAACGCTGCCACCAGTAAATATAACGATCTAGGTCCCGATCAATCTCTCTATACTTGACTCTAACTCTAATATTCAGTCTTCAAGACTCTAAATCTATAGCAAAAACCCTGGCTCTGTCTGTCTGTTTGAAACAACAATTGATATTATACTAATTTATTGATACAGTTAAATATGAGTTGACTGGGTTGGCCGGTCAGAGTCAATATACTGATATAGCCCCAAAATTTATTACATGATGCTTCAGTACTTTGAAATTACCTGAATTTAAACTTACCTAAAGTATAGAGTTTGTCATGAACAACAACCGTTGTACCAATCTCATGAAAAGATTTGAGATTCAGAAAGGGATTCAATGCTGTTTAAAAATTTGATCTTTTATCCAGAATTGATTTTGATCTTTAAATTTGTGGATTGCTGGGTCTCATTTATAAATTAAATATGATAAAAATACGAAAAAGTCTGGTTAATTCTTTTTGCCCTACACTGAGAAAAAATGTCCAATACTGCAGTAGTAATATTGCGCTTGAAAACGAGAAGCCGTTGAAATCACAATATCACTATTCCTTACAGTAATATACTAACAGTTCTGAATAATAAGTAATATACTTATATTATAGCATGTTCTTAATTTTTTTAATTTGTTAACAAGAGCTTTCAGCATGCAGCTACTTTTGTTTTACGCTTGTTATTTCAAAACTTTTCCATTTTAAAAGACATTTGCTGTGTGTTAATGATTAGGTTGCTAATGATTAGGGTGTAAATGATTACATATGCAAAAAATGTAGCCTGGCAAGATTGCAAAAGTGTTTGCGGAGTGTGGAGTGTGTGGGGAGTGTTGAGGAAGTGTGGGGAGTGTTGGGGAAGTGTGGGGAGTGTTAGGGGAGAATGGGGAGTGTTGGGAGTATTGGTGAAGTGTCAGGAGTGATGGGGAAGTGTAGGGAGTATGGGGAGTTTGGGGAGTGTTAGGAAACTTTTGGGAGTGTCTGGGGAGTGTTGAGAGTGTTAACGGAGTCAGTGTTGGGGAAGTGTATCTGTTTTCAATATAAGGTACATTTTTTGTGTGCGTTCACTAGCTAAATTTTTAGAAAATCCATGGAAATTTAGGATTTTATGAAATGTATTCAACTTTATTTCTATGTTCCTAACAGTGCAATTTAAATCACGTCCATAACTATTAAAATCAACTGCACAGCATTTTCATAATTATAATATAATATCTACAAACTTTAAACCGTTTTATGATGCAAATTTTTCCTTTAGAACTACTGTTGTAATGATGCATCATATTCTTTGTGTAGAAACCTCCACTAATTAGCAGTTTTCCCCTTAAATAGTTCAATCATATCAATAATGTAATTTACTAAGGTGTAAACATTCATTTTACAGTCCGTAAGAGTAATTTCTAGAGACCCTTGAAGGAAATGCCTTATTTACCACAATGCCCTTAAAACTTTTATTTGGTCAAACATGTGGAAGCTCCTATCCTTTTTACTACTCGTAAAGGGATTAATTCTGATCATTTTTCCATTGTCTCTTATTGGTAAACAATGCGCAAATCTTTTTATGCAGAAAAACCCCGGAAGAAAATAAATAGTTTTAAGAAACAAAAAAATGGATATCTATTTCATACTTGGATCAGACAAAGGTTTCAAGGGTACCATTGTAAATCGGGAAATTGCCATCTTGTCCTTTATTAAGGGTCACTTGAAATAAAGCTTTCAGTCCCTTTAAACATATTCTGATAGATATCTTGCCTGAAATATTGAGCTGTTGGTCTGTAAAAAGGAGTCCCGGTTCTAAATCTTAGTTCCTCTGGCTGATAGGGCTTAAAAACACGATCGAGATGGTCCTGAAAAGATTTGTATCTACAATTTAATCTGAAAATAACATAATCCACAAAAAAGGTCAGTTCCTTTTTGTAGTCTCTTCCATCAACAGTTAATAATGAGAAAATATAAAATATCAAGGTGGACTTGAGTTTTAAACCAATTATTTGTTTTTGATCTAAGAAATAGAATTTTTTTAAATGTTAAGCTTAGTGTTTTGTACCTTAAAGTGTCCTCCTATTACAACTATTGTTGTGGTTGGTATGCAATCCATACTAGAGATGCTCACATTCCATTCACCAGTTTTTCCTTGTTCTTTGCAGTAAGTGCCTTAAATATGAGCAAATTCTTCATTAGTTTGGGATTTGAGTTCAAATTTCATATTTTATTCAACTACAAAGCATGAGATATTACAAATAAGGAATCACAAGCAATTTGAGTTAAAGAAGTGTAAGTTTCAAAACAATTTGAAAATTTGCCTTTAAACATGTACTATCTGCATTCCTATATATGCACCAAATAACATATTACAATTTCGAATATCTATACAAGTATTGGAAATATGCAATAATCTGAGCTATTTTGAATGATTTGTCATTAGAATCATACCTCGAAATAACCGTGGAACAAACCCTGGTGTGCAAACAAGAAAACATTTTTCTAAAAAAAGTCTCCTAATAACTTTTATAGTTTTCAGCAAGTCTTTGTTGCAAAATTACATGTGAATCTCTTTGGTTTATAAAATTTGCATGGATAGAGATGTATAGATAGATCCTGCCACTATTGCAATCTATTGGTCCTAAGAAGTCACCAAAAAGGTGAGTGAACCCTGATTGGATTACGAGAAGCTACTAGAAATTTGAAACAAAGTTTTTAAATCTGAAGACTGTTGATGCACTTTATTGATCCAATTTTACCTGTTCTAATGTTCATGTAGCAGTCAAACCTACCGTTCAAAGGGTCTTCAGGAATCTGACATGCTAGATTAAAAACGTTTATAAATTACATAAAATTAGGGCAACAATCCCAAATATAAAAATGATCAGTAAAGCATTATATTTTCAACAAGCACTTAAACTTTAGTTCATTTGAAGCATTGGGCTCATGTCTATGAGTTTTCAGCTGGAGTAAGTTGTACAGCATAAATTTAGTCTACTAACTGCAAAACAGGACAACTCATTAGCTACATAATCCCCTGGTATGGAGCATAATGTATGCAGAGTAACAGAACCTGTAAGGGAAGGAGCATATCTGTGAATGCTGAATATTTTGAGGTCTGCCTTGAAAACAATTGAATGAAGAGCACACCAGACTAACCAGAGTGAGCAGAATTCGGCTTCTTCGATTGGAAATCAAACGTGTTTTGGTCTATAATTCAACAATCTTTTACCTTACGGATTTGTTTATTTTATACTTTTTCATTCAAAATGTATATGTTGACAAAAAAGTGTTTAAGAAAAATTGTGATCGGAAGCCACAGCTTTCTGGAATATTGACAGAACCGTTAAATCCACGTGAGAGGTACACAATAATGTAGAATTGGCTAAATATGTGCTGAAGGGGTTGGGACGCGGCACCTGTTTTCTTAGTCTTCCATTCCGCAACTCACATCTCACCCTCTACTAAGCTTTCGGTGCGTTCTGCAGGAATTATACTAACCGAAGATATAGTAGCGTTTAGTGGAGAGTGATCACAGTATGGATTAGCAGCAGCCCGCTCACCCGTAGTTCCTGTTTGCACCTTTTTGGTCTTTCAGCTAAATATCTTATCTTTTAAATGCTTAATATATAGACAAATGCAGCACTAAGTAAAGATTTTAAACACGTCATAGCATCTATAATAACCTTACTATATTTATCATATTTTTTCTGTAAAATAATCAATTATTTGAGGTTTTTATTTTAAGTGGTTATTTCAAAATTCACGTATTCGAGGCCTTATAGGGTAATTATAATAATAAGCCGCTGCCCTCTGGTAACATTGGCGCAAATTTGCATGATTTAAGCAAACTTTGATATAAGTTAACATTAAATATTAAAAATTAATTAAATAAATGTTGAAATATATCATGCAAACCTAAAATTTAAAACTGGTAAAAACTTGATTTTCAACTACAATCAAATGCAAGACTTAAAATATAAAACAAAAATAAAAGAATTTGGTTTAATAACATTTAAATGCTTGGTTTGTACATGGATTTTAAGTTTTAACAAAACTTTGATAAAACGTTTTTTGGGGGGCGGGGGGTGCTAATTTAAACTTTTTTATATGTTTTGCTAAAAGTTGTTGGCAAAACAATATTGAAGAACTTAAAATGAAAACAATTATTATAGATCTTTTGTACAGGGTGTCCCAATAAACATGGAAATTCAGTTACAAATTCGAGGTGGTCATTGTTAAGAATTAGCATTTAAAAAGACTATATCTAATTTGTCACTAAATTCCCATGTTTATTGGGACACCCTGTATCTTAAAGGTTATTTTGTTTCATGTGTTTAATAATACAAAAAATCGCATGGTTTCAAAAATGCACATTTTTAATAAAACTATGTTGAAAATATTTTGTATTATTATTCATAATGTGGCATTAAATCCAAGAATGAATCAAGAGGTTTGGATATTTACTTGGGAAATCTTCTTGCCACACTCGTAAAGTGTTATTTGTTGTCTGCAGTCCAGCCTCCACAATTCTTCTTTCAATGTCCCTGATGACAAAACAATATGTTTTCCTTTGTAAAACAAGCAAACAAGTTGTTTTTGCTAGCAATATGTCATTCAGAAAATAACGAGCATGGACAAACTACTTGGATCATTCAGAGAAATGAAAACTTCTTTTTAAAAGCAACTGAAAAAACATACCTTTTACAATTCTTCAAACAAACTTTACAAATAAGTCGTTTTTTTTACTGAACGAATGATTTTTTGGAACAATTACTTTTTATATTATAATGGATCTTTTAACTGAACGAACAATCTTATTTAACGAACGATTTTACTGAGCTAATGCTTTTACTGAACGAACGTTCAGTGAGAAAACAACCGAAATAGATGGAAAATGAACGATAATTTTGAGAATGAACAAAATAAAAAACTAACAAAAGGGGTTGTTTACGAACGATGAACGAACGAAAATAAAAAAGACCGAACGTGCCCATCTCTCTGTGTCTCAATAGAGGCGAATAGCATAAACAAAAAAATTATTTCTTGATCTTTAGGTATTAATCGCAATATTTTGCATAAAAAAGACTATAATGACATTTTATAATTGTTTTATTTTAAATTCCCGTTTTTATGGGAATACCTCAGAGAGAATACAAAATAGATCTTAAATTTAATCTATATTGTAAAACCAGACATTCATTTATATGTTGCCTATAGCCGGCCAAACAGCTGGACCAATTGGGCCATGATATTTTGGGTGGCCGGGGGGTGTTATAGGCAAAAAAAAAAATTTTTTTCCTCAAAATCTTTTTTTATTTTTTTTCAAAATATTTTTTTTTTTCGCGGGCAACGCCGGGCCCTGCAGCTATTGCTTTATAAACCATAAACTAAGCTTTCAGTGCGTACTCAGTGGCGCAACTAGAGGGGGGGGGGCGAACAGAGTTTCGCTCCCCCCCCTCACTCCCCTCACTTGACTCCAACATGATCATGATTGTTGACCATATTTCATCCAATTTTGCCAATGAAGAAGAAATGCCAAAATTTTCTTCGGCACTTAGCGTATCGAATTTCTAAATATTTTCTGGTTTTCATTCTTAATTTATTCTCTCAAAAGAACCTGTAAATATGTTACTTCTCATGAGTATTACAGTACATATATCATTTAAAGTTACACAAAACCTGACAACCCTAATAACAAAAAATACAATAATGATTATATCAGACTATAAGAGCTTTTTCAGACTATAAGAGAAAAACAGGGATAAGCCCTTGCTGGCAAACAAAGACTTCGATCAGAAGGACTATTATGGATTATGGACAGACGAAAGATAGTCAAGTACTGCCTCTGCCAGGAACTACTTACTACATAAAGACTGCACAGACCTTATACTATTAAGGGACTATAGAGTGGACAATTACGACTAGTGGATAAATCCCAAAAAAACTGCTGTTGACTGTAATAGGGGACTTTTATATACATAGGGAATATGACTAAGCCAGGGCAAATAGGTTGTCTAGTACAATAGATGGCAACACAGAATGCGTACACTTTTAGTACAGCTGTTTCTACGTCATAAGTATCGGAAAAAAATATAAATAGAAGTGATATTGCTTATCTTTCAGTGAAATTGGTGCAATTCTTTTGTGTTCTTTTTTTCTGTTTTTACACTTTTTCATTTAACTTTCTTTAGACTAAATAACAGGGTTGAAACTGATATTGTATCACATAAGAAATTTGTAAAAATTTTAAAAAGTGCTTAAATATGAAATTAATGGGAAATCTATATAGATATAATGTATACAGGGTATCCCAAATAAAAATGTGCAGTAGGAGTATTGAGGCAACAATTTTGATTAAATTTTCACAATTTCAAACAAAAAGGTCAATTTATTTTTGATAAATAATTTAAAATATTTTGTATTTTTATTGTAGATTTTTTTTCTTTTGTTGTTGTGTATGATGATATAATATGCATACTTCATTCAGACTATTTAGTTCACATGGTTATACAGAGAAAAAAAGATTAAAATACTCTATGTAATTTTGAGTTGTAAATATTTTCTACGTATTCCTACAAAGACGGCATTTATCTCAGCTGAGTCTTGGAAATCATATCAACTAATAAGAGGACATGTCGTCTTTTTTACATTTGACACTTGTGACGTTGTGCGCAGTTGGTCGATTTTTCTGCTGCCATCTATTGTACACTGAAACCCTTAATAACGAATACATCAAAAGAATTTATCAAATGTCGTCTTGACAATTTTTCAATGAGTTTTATACTATATTACGTAAATATCAGTATTTGCGAAGATAAATAAATAGCCATGAATAAGCGGGAACAGTTTTAAAGAGTTCTATATAATCATTTAATTAAAAAAATAAATATTTGCAACATTCCATTATCAGAAAGTGGAGAATACGACATTTGATGAATTCTTTCGATGTATTCGTTATTAAGGGTTTCACTGTACTTGACAATCTCTTTGAGCCAGGGATTAATAGACACTTAGAAATGCATGAAAAGACACAATCTAGGAGAACAGAAAATTGTTGGCACTTCTCGTATATGTTTAATTAATTTCCTTGTGTCGTTCATTTTAAATTCTGTTGGAAGTATATTTTTTTAAAGACAAGAACAAGCCATGAATATAATAAAAATTTTGTAAAATATTGAGCACAGAGCCAACCCTTCAACAATTAAAACATGCTGCTTTTGTTTTATTTTTTTACTTAAAATCTTGAAAAACAGCGCTGTTACGCGAGCCATGCTGCGTATAGAAAGTCTGTTTGTCGCCCCTGTGTATTTCTGAGCTCCCCCTGAAGATCTGTACGGAATGTATTGTGAAAGAACTAGTTTAGGAACTGTTTACAGTCCGACTGCGCAGACGCAAGATTTCTCGCGGAATAGTAACTAATTTATGTCAGTAT